CATTCTATGCTCCTGGGGCCCTTCCAGCTCTGACAGTCCATGCCCTAAGACCCCTTCCAGTGCTCACATTCTGTGCCCTAAAGCTTCTTCCAGCTCTGTCATTTCATACTCTGAAATCCCTGCCAAGTCTAATACCTGTATTTTAAGGTCCCTTCCAATTCTAAAGTTCTGTAATTCCTTAGAGATGAATCCAATTTGGACATAAGACTCTAGAATACTACCCGATCAAGGACAGTAGTATTGTATTCTAAACAGTTTCTTACCATTTGATTCCAGACTGTGTAAATAATGACTTGTTTCACCAGGGATGAGCAGGCATATTTCTTTGTACATCCATTCCCAGGTGAAGGTTTTCAGGGAACCATCCTCCCTCTCCAGCACAGTCCATTTGGTAACCAATGTCTCTCAGCTAGCCAGGGTCAGAGTTGTGACCCCTCCACCCATCCACCTACACACCACGAAGCTAGGAGATAGTGCAGGAATCCAAACCATGGCCTTGGCATCCTTAGCCACATGTTCTGACTTGTAGAGCTAATGGGCCAGGATGAAAAGGGAGCAGTTTCCTGGGAAAAGACATAAAGGGCCAAAGAGCAAACTGGCCACAAGAAACACTTCCAACTTGAAAAAATAAATTCCCTAAACAAACAAGTCAGCTCATATATCGGAAGAGCCTTAGCTGGGCCGCCAGAAACCAAAATGATTCGAGTCAGCATAGTAAAAAATAGACGCACATTAAAAAGTCTCCAATATTTATTTTCTTCCTCCTATCGACTCAGATTCCTCCAGCTTAAAAGGGTACGTGGGGCAGGCCGTGTGGAAATCGATGCCGCTTGGGTTTTTTTATGGCAGATAAATTTGATTTTCTGTTAACTGTAGCATTCATTTTTCATAATTTATAAGCTGTCTCTCCTGAGGAGGGTCGTGGTCAGCTGTGTGTTGACATGTGGGATAAGGGTAGCCAAAGCAGTTTGGCAGAGTGGGAAGATTGCTGTATCGGGTGTCAAGTGACTTCAGTTGCAGCCTGAGCTCTGATGGATGTCCCTAAGACTCAGTGGCCTCATCTGTAAAAGAGAAGGGATCGGACTGAATGATTTCTGAGGTCTGTTCAAGTCCTAATGTTTTTCTATCTAAGGGCCCTTCTGGTGCTTAACATTCTATGAATCTGTGATTATTTGTGATTGGTGGCAAGATTTGGGATTCAATGAGATGAGGAGTGGAGCAAATAGAAGAGAATGAGTCATTCTGGCTATTTTTGGCCCTTTCCTCAGAAGGAGAGATGTGAGTGTGTGTGCGTATACACATAGACTACATATTACATATACACATATATGTATATGTCTATATATATACACATATATGTATGTACATGTATGTGTATATACATACATATACATTAAAAGAAACAGCCAAATCCATAAGAACCAAACATGAAAGAAATCTTAACCTTGGTGGTCATTCTTACTTCTAAATGGTAGGTTAATAAGTGCATGGAAGACGGGGGTGGGGGAGACAGGGAATAAGCATTTATATAAAACCTATCTGCCAGGCACTGTTCAAAGCATTTTTTATAAATAACATCTACATTGATCTTCACAACAACCCTATGAGGTAGATGCTATTATTATCCCCATTTTATAGGTCTGGAAACAGGCAAACAGAGAAGCAACTTGCTCAGGGTCACACAACTAGTAACTCTCTGAAGCTTAGGCCCAGCGCTCCATATATTGTACCACCTAGTTGCATGGAATTGAGGGACTACTTCTGCTATGAATAAAATGGTTATGAGTAACTTGTTTATTCTGGAGTATAAATAAATGTACCCCAAATGACCAGTGTGGTCAGTTTACAATCCCAGCAAAGCTGACCGGCTCCTGGTTGATTGTGGGCAGTAAATGCATCTCAGAAAGAATGTGAACCAGGACCTGTGAGTAGTTCCAGTTGTAGAACCGCCCATGTGTTCTCCCTATGTCCTTTGTTTGAAAATTGTAAATCATAGATGTTCCCTGAAAATCAACCAATCACTCAACACATATTTATTAATAGCTTGCTAGCTGCTGACAAGTATAAAACAGTTCCTGCCCTCAAGGAGCTCCCATTCTATTAGCATATGCTGTGTCTCTCTACCTCAAATCTGGAAGCTAATTGGCATACCTAGCATTTGGGTTCCTGACATGGGGGAGATAAGAGCCAGCCATTGACAGAGAGGTCCCAGTTTTGACAGTCCTATAAAATGATGGGTTCCTGTATGGATCATAAAATCATAGTCTTAGGGCCAGAAGGGAGCTTTGAAGTCATTGGGTCCAATTCTTGCATTTTGCATATGTGGAAACTGAGGCCTAGCAAAGTTAAGATACTTGCCCAAGATCAGGTAGATTGATGGCAGTGCCAGAATTCAAACCCATAGCACATCAGTGGTACAGCCATAAGAACCTAGTGCTTCTGATTCTCAATACAGTACTCTTTCTATCGGGCCACATCAACATTCCCTGTTGAAAGGCAAAGGGGATGGTTTACATGGGTCTTCTTTCTACTGGCAGATACTCTCTCATCTTCTTCCTCATCAATTAATCAATTAATCAGCAGGCCTTTATTGAGAATATGCTTTGCACACGGCCTTATTTTTTATCTTCTGGGAGATGCAAATAAAACTACGGGATGGTTCCTGCCCTTAAGAAATGTAGTACTGCTGGAGAGAAAAGACAAGCGCAGTTGGGAAAAATACCTAATGGTGGAATTTGGAATTTGGAAATCACGTGGAATTTGACTGTGTCCTCTGACTCCAACTAAAGTGATCTTTCCACTTTTCTACCCCAGTCTTCTTCCTTGAATATCTCTCCTGACAGAAGCCCAGTCAGTTCCCAAAGATACAGAAACCTCGTAAATGACTGCCCTTCCTATATCATTTAGTATGGGTAAACCATAGGTGAGGAGAGATTGACAGGCCCAGCTAAACAGAAGACAAATGGAGCCCTGACCTCTAAATGAGAAGAAAGGAACAGTGAATAATAGGTGAAGTAAGACTCCTGTGAGTTAGGTCACCAAGAATGTGATGGAACGTGTATAGGTTAGGTCTGAAGCCAGAGGGAGAGAGGAAGGAAGGAAGGAAGGAAGGAAGGAAGGAAGGAAGGAAGGAAGGAAGGAAGGAAGGAAGGAAGGAAGGCAGGAAGGAAGGAAGGAAGGAAGGAAGGAATGAGGGAGAGGGAAGAAGGAAGGAAGGGAGGAAGGAAGGAAAAAAGGAGGAGAGAGGAAGGAAGGAAGGAAGGAATGAGGGAGGGAGAGAGGGAGGGAGGAAGGCAGGAAAGAAGGGAGGAAGGAAGGAAAAAGAAGGGAGAGAAGGAAGGAAAAAAGGAAGAGAGAGGAAAGAAGAAAGGAAGGAAGGAAGGAAGGAATGAGGGAGAGGAAAGAAGGAAGGAAGGGAGGAAGGAAGGAAAAAAGGAAGAGAGAGGAAGGAAGGAAGGAAATAAGGAAGAAAAGGAGGGAGAGAAACAAGGGAGGAAGGAAGAAGGGAGGGAAGGAAGTAAGGAAAAAAGGAAAGGAGGAGCATTTATTAAGC